GTTCATATAAAGGGATTTCCAATTAGCAGGTTTTCATTTTGATTGCAGTTTTGTCAGTGACCCAGCACAAGGTGATTGTCATGTGTTCACACTAGCAGTGTTTCTATGGGGCCAAAAGTGAGATGCACTTGTCGCTTCAGTGCCATTCTGTTGCTCAAGACAGCTTGTTGTTTTGACCACATGTCCTGGCCTGTAGGAAAGAGGCGGGTATGTTTGACATGCTTCCCGTGAGTGAGTTAAAATCAATTTAATTTAAAGGAAACAGAACTTAAAAAATACATGCAAAAATCACATAAATGTCAAATTATTTCAAATTGCCTCACCTCTCAATAACTGCATTATTTCTGTGTTGTAGAGTCGAGTATTTGATCTTATTAGCAATTAAAAAACTCAATGGTGTTCACTAAAATGCCCTGCAAACACCAACACTTTCTCACTTTTCTCTGCACGGCTCTACTTTCACAATCTTTTTTTTTCCACAATCGCTTTTCTCACGTGCAATATAGCCCCTTACTGTGTGCAATTTATCTCCCTTATGTGCAATCATTATTATATTGTACCATATTTTATTCTATTTTATTTATCTTTTATATTTTTTAAGTTCATTGTATCCACTATATGGATCTTTAACGTGTGTGTGTGTGTGTGTAGCTCTATTGCATTACATTTCTCAGCTCTTCCTATTTATAGTTTATTAGTTCCTTTTTCTTCCTGTCATGTTTTTTTGTCCTTTTTATCTTTTGTGCACTGTATCCATACTGCTGCAACAAGTGAGTTTCCCCATTTGTGGTGAAAAATAAAGTGCAATCTAATCTAACCTACCTTGGAAAAACAGACAGGCAAGGCACGCTGGCATAGTGCTTATCAATAGAAATGACAGTTTCTGTGACAACTCATACAGCGTGAAGGACGTTGTGTAACGTGAGTCTCTGTGAATGGCTTCCAAGAAAAATACTCTTGCTTGCTGTTTGGCACTAAACTGCATGCCTAAACTTTCTTTGGTCAGATGAGATTAATTTGATCAGTTCAGATGACGTCCGGCTTGTTTGGCAAGTACCTGGTCAGGATTACCACAGTCAATACGTAGTCCCGACAGTGAAGCTTAGAGGTGGGACTGGTAGATGGAAACTATGACCTGGCAAAGTATGTCGTCTGACTTGAATCAGGTGAAACACCTTGGGATGCTTTAGAGTGATGGGTTGTGCAAAACCACCCCTTTAGTAAAGAGCAGCTAGGAAACATCTTTCTGAAGAATGCTAGAAATTGGGCGCCGCTATAGCTCACCTGGTTGAACTGGCGTCCCATGTATAGGGGCTACAGTCCCCTGATGTGGAGGTCATGAGTTCAAATCCTGCTCATGGCCCTTTTCCACAGGTCCTTCCTCCATTCTTCTCCCCCACTTTCCTGTCTCTCTCGCTCACTACACTATCAAAAAATAGCTTTAGAAGAATGCTAGAAATTAGAGTTTTCACTGCTGGACCTGTATTTTTTAAATAGTAAATCTAAACTCTTATAATTTTACACAAGAACAAATACTGTACTGTTCAGTGCAGAAATAATGCAAGTTGTTAGAGGTTTTATAATTTTGNTAAATTAAATGCATCCTGTAGCCTGCTTTTCAGTAATTAATTCCGAACCAAATACGTTGCAGGCTGGCTCTCAATCTAATTCCAAGCTAGCACTTTAAAAAAAAAAAAAAAAAATCTGTAGCATGTCAGCAGCTGTTTGGCTCTGCAGGTGTGTATAATACGCGTGTGTGCAATATTACTGAATGGGCTGTAGAACCGAAGAGTATATTTTAGACACATAAGCCTATAAAGACGATTTGCACTGTTAACCGTTTATAGGTTATTTTGTGGTTTAAAATGGGCTTTTCCTTCCTTGATACCAAGTGAATTTAAACACTACTTGTAAATGTTTTTTCCCTATCGGTAACTCTTTGATTTTTTTTTTTTCTTCCTGAAATTAGCGACAGTGCATTTGTCCCCTTGTGTTTCCTTCAGAGGATTGGATGTGGTGTGTAAGTGGTGGATTTCTGTATGTGTACTATGTAAAGATGTGGAAATATTGTTCTTTGCTCTGATTCCTGGAAAGGCTACACTTTTTAATTTGCTGTGTGGGGATTTCTTCCAATAAACCTAGTGTGTTTTTAAATCGATTTTGTCTTGCTGGTATTGTTTATATATTTGTACAGTTGTATAGTTGCTGTTTGATTAATTTAGCAGCTGTGATGCACAAACATTTGCACAGCATTTGTTGAATATCAGTAGAAACAACAAGACTTAATTACAGTTTTCAGTATCTTTAAACCATTTAATGAAACTGTCTTTTCATTCTTGAATCTAACTTTCATCTTTGCAGAATACTTGTAGTTCTTATAGTGTAGAAATGTCTTGCATGCATCACATTTGAGATCGAACCACAGATTTTTTTTATCTAGACACTATGGAGGCATTTAAAAACCCTGGTTCTTTAAATAGTTCGTTCATGTGTCAAGGTATTTTAGGATGTTTATAGCTGTTAATATTTCCTGGTACCCTCACTGAAGTCTTTTCTTTCTGGAGTGTTTTATTTAAATGCTAAAAAACACCCAAGAATCAGACTGAAACAGCATTGAATCAGCTCAGGAGATGTCAATATCCTCCTAGAAATATACCCAAATTGATGAGAGTATACCTTGGAAATGGCCAGAAATGGAAAGTAACTCAGAGTTGATGGTTTCTGGAGTCAGACTGTGCTAAGAGTAAAGTATTAATCTTAAAATTCCAAGTGCATATTCATTATTTTTGTACATTACTTAGTTGTATATTTAATCTTTATAGCGCTCACTTTGTCTTATAGTGTCTCAACACACTCACTTAGTAAAGTTGTTGGACCACCACATGCTGCCAGAACCCTTCTTTCAAATGATATTATTTCGTTTGATGTTCTGATTATGGTTGTGGAAAGCGCTGATGAACACAAAATCTCCCAAAGTGGTGAAGGCCATAGCGTATAGTTCACAACATTTTCATACTCAAACCATTCAGTAACCCCGGTGTTCACTGATTTGCAGTGACCCTTCCCAGTAGGAGGACGAGTGGAGCCACATGATGCCCCCCACAGCGTAACAGAGCCACCAGATCCTTGCTCTGCAGGGGTCAAGGGTTCAGGATTTTCCTTTACTTTGTCACTCGTCACTATATTTAGTATAACTGAAAGCCTGCATGTGTATCGTTGGGTAATACTGATACATGATGTGTTTACAACAAGTTCCATAACATGGTTTAGTATTGTTGTTGATGAATATCCATTTATGAGCCCCTCTGTGGCATCGCTGTTGAAAATCATATATTTCTGTACAATCTGGGAATTTAGTCTCTAAATAATAATGTCCTCTTTGCTTAAAAGGAATGTAAGCAGCATCCATTACATGTCTGAGCTAAATATTTATGTATTTTTATATGAACTAAATTACTAGAAATGTATGTAGGCAGTAGGAGTAGACTCAGCTGCTTTTTGGATACTTTCCAAATCTACTCATGTCCACAACTTTGCAGTGACTCACAGTGACCCTTCCCTCGAAGAGGACAAGTGGAGCCAAACCATGGCAGCAAAATGCCCCCTACGGACTAACAGAGCCACCAGGTCATCTCTCTGTTGGGGTCAAGGGCTCAGGACTTTCCCTGAACTTGTCACCAATCTGTACATTTAGTAGTGTGTGTTTTTTTCCTTTGCTATGCTTCATTTAGTTAAAAACCTGCACAGCAGTGTTTTGCCTTTTATTCCATTCAGCTTAGTTTTATTAATGTGGTGTGTGATGACCTTACAATATTAAATTACAGATAGAAACTCAACACATTCAGAGATTTCCATTACAGAAGCTCTTTGGTGACGGTGGGAAGAAAAAAAACTCCCCTTAACCAGTGAGAAAACAGCAGAACCAGGCTCAGGGAAGGTGTCCATCTGTCTTGACTGGTTAGGGAGAAGGTAACACATAAGAGAGCATAAACACGGGGGAGGTTGATGAAGCCAGTAAGCAGATTGGAGACGTGTAACTCCCAAATCAGAGATGTCTCGCACAGGAGAAAGAAGATTCAGATGCAGTAGGAATACATAAATGCATGGAGCATCTCATCAGTGATTTTTTAAAGTTACATGTCTCAGCCCAGTAAAGTGCAGCCTTTACTATGACAAAATATGAGAAACTGGTATTTCAGGGAGGCAAAGTGAATGTCAGATCCTTTCTGATTAAGGCTGTGATCTGAATCAAGATCAAGAGCTTTGTTGTTGTTTTATTATTATTATTATTATTAAGGCTGTGTAATAACAGCAAGACATGATTAAAAGAAAAATAAAACCCTTAAAAACAGAAAAGTCATAAATAATGAAGAGCACATATTGAATCTTTATAAATGTAAATACAGTTTGACATGATGTAGGTGTAGTTCAGTTGGATACATTATGCATCATGCCATATCTGTACTTATCCAGATTTATATTCACCACATCATAGATGTACATATCCATATACAAAATAATCATTTCATAGTTGCATATATATGTAAGCCAGTTTGTCATGTCATAACTGTACATATCTATATGTATATTGATCATGTCATACCTGTCGATATTCATATGTATATTCATCATGCCTCATCTATACACATAGGTTTAAATATATGGATCAAAATGTATCAGAAAGGTTGAGCTTATCTTATCTTATCTTATCTTTTATAAGGAGACTGTGAAATTGAAGTGTTGTCTGTGTGTGCATACATCCATGTGTTATACATATTTACATAGAGATTACTGATATCCAGTGGGTCATGTATAACAAGAGTCTATTAATGGGATGTGTCTATAGATGATACTGATCAAAGAAGAGCTGGGTCGTCCATCCATCCATCCATCCATCCACCTGCTGAGGGATGCTGAGCTGTGCAGCCTACGGGAGGAGGAGGAGGAGGAGGAGGAGGAGGGACGTCACGCTGTGCACGCTCGCGGTCTGTCGTTGCAACGCGGAAGAGACGAAGGAGGAAGGAGACGCTCCACGTCACTGAGGTGTAATATCGGCGTCAGTGCAACACAAGGTGCTACCTCAGTACGATTCCAGTACCATTGTACAACCACACGTCCTCATGTAGGATAGAACAACTCGCGTGACCACAAAGCGAAAGGTTTACTCCGCCGCTTTCTGCTCCACAACGGGCCTCGGCGGAGACTTCCAGGAACCCCCGCTGAAGGTAACGTACGCACGTTAACGGTCGCTTCGGTGTGTTGTTTGCCCCGCCGCCTGCTAGCCTCGAACCGCCGCTACGGAGGAGCTTCCCCCTCCTTCTCCTCGGACACCGCTGACCTTTTGCGGCTCGAAGGAAGCGCCGCACGGTGTTGGTATTGATAAAATGTCGTAGGAAGCATTAGCCCCGGAGTGTCAGCGGACTGACCCAGCTAGCTAGCCGGGATTTAAGGTCGGTAGGATTCAAAGCGTTGTTGACGTTTTCGGTTTGACAGTTGTCGGCGTCCTGCTGGGGAGCTGCTGCTGCTGCTGCTGGATCCATGCATTTACATGTCTGCTTCACATCTCATGCAAGCTGTTTCATATGATAACTAGCTGTATTAGCAGATGGAGTAAACAGCAGCAGCCGGGCCCGTTGTAGGAACTGTAGGCATTACTGTAAGCACACTGTAACAACATGCTAAGGGCCTCTCATTGTTGTGGTTTGGATGCATTATAAAGCAGTCACACATCATGACTAAGTACCAGCAAACATAACACAGCACATGTACAGCAAAAAAAAAGCTTCAAGGGGCACAATATTCATCAGCTGGGTAAAGGGATGTCTTATCTTGTGTGGCTTTGCAGTGGAAAGTGTAAAAAATCAGGACTCAAAAGCACTAACCTGAACCCATTTCAGCCAAAATATATGATTCATTCTCTTCATTTGAAGCCAGCAAATGTGTGCTTGGGTAGCACTGATGCACTTTGTTTGCAGTACAGTATTCTGTGATCAATAATCATGCAGTAACACCTTTGTGTTGTTAAATATAATATCCGTCATGATAAAGTAAAAGGAAATCCAACTTTAAGTGTCTGTTTCAACCATTTTAAGGCAGGAAGGGGTTATTTACATGGAAAAAAACACTCGTTAATGTGCAACTGTAATACACAGAGATGAGATTTTAAGTGTTTAATCGATGACTGGAGAGGAACTTTAAAACAATAGGCTGGAAATCCTGTTTCCTCGCTCCTCTGTGCAAACAGCCACTATCCCTGAGTTGATGGTTCCTGGAGACTGATTATGTGTAGAAAAAAAAGCATTCGTCTTAGAATCCTAATTGAAAATTCCTTACTTAGTTGTGTGTTTAATCTTTATTGTCTTCTCTTTATCTTATAGTGTCTTTTGCAGTGTGTGTATACAGACAGGTGGTAAGTTAAAGGGAAAAAAAACAATATAAAGCATCTTAAGCAGGTGTTTTTTTGCGACCACATGCTGCCAGAACCGCTTCAGTGTGCCTTTGAATTAATTATCCAAGTGTCTGAATTCTGCTAGAGGGTCATTCTTCCATAACATATTAGCTCAACTGGTGTTTTGATGATGCTGGTAGGCAGCGCTGACGAACACACCAGTCTCCCTTAGGTGCTCCACTGGGTAGAGATCTGAGGACTGAGAAGGCCATAGCAGATGAGTCACAGCATTTTCATACTCAAACCATTCGGTGACCCCTTGCGCCCACAACTTTGTATTGATTTTTAGTGACCCTTCCCTGTAAGCATGGTGGCAAAATACCCTCCGACAGCATAACAGAGCCACCAGATCATCTCTCTGCGGGGTCAAGGGCTCGGGATTTTCCTTTAGTTTGTTACTTGTCTGTATATTTAGCCAAGCTGTCTTCTCTTCTGTGGGTCTGCAGTGAGCTCAGACTCTGTGCTTGGACTTGTAGCTGAAGAAAAGCACGAACCTGAACACTTTATTACCAAAACATATCTTATTCACTGCAGCTGAAGCCTGCATGTACATGATCGGCTAAAACCGAAGCACCGTGTTCCATAACAGTGTTTAGCATCAACTCAAGTTTATTTATACAGCACCTTTTTAAAACAACCTGAGTTGTCCAGAGTGCTGAATGCAACAAAAACACTCACAAAAAAACAAGGCAAAACAGGCGAACAACTTGTCAAATCAACTTCTAAAATATAAGAAATATAGAGTGCTAAATTGTCCCCTGCCTTCACCCTGAGTCAGCTGGGATAGACTCCAGCCCCCCCGCGACCCTAGTGAGGATTCAGCGGTGTATAGATAATGGATGGATGGATGGAAGAAATATGGAGTGCTAAATTATTAAGACCATTGAGAGCCACCAAAACCAGCTGAAAACATACACATCCTGAGATTTGTCTTGGAAGAGGAACATTTGATTGAAAGAGGAAGCTTCCCTCACACACTGGCCTTGATTGTGGGACTGTTAACAGCAGCTTGTTTGAGGATCTGCTAATCATATATTAGGGCCAGAGAAGTTCTAAAATGTAGTCAGAGGCCGTATTCTTTGATGACATGATATTCCTGGACAACCTGTCAGTTTAGGTTGTGAGTAATCGTGTCCACCCAGCTTAATAAGAATGATAGTATCATCTATTACATATCTGAGCTGCTTATTAATGTGTAATGAATGATTAAAAAATATAATTTCTGTTACAGTACAGCTATTTTTCAACTACTTTCCATCACAGCTATGTCTGAGTGACGCAGTTAAATCCTGTCTTACTGGTTGTTTTTATCTGTTACTGCTATGCTTCCATCATTCTCTTATCTGCTTGTGTTTCTCTGTGTCATGTATGTGTTCATGTTTTTTCTCAGTTTACTCTTGGACTTTTTCTTGCCTATAAAAGCCATGCATATGCCGTGTTTTGCATGTGTTTTCTCAAGTTTCAGCACGCTCTGCTCTCAGCCACCACAGCGTTCCCTGTTATTGCATCCACATTCAGATCGATGTTCATATAAAGGGATTTCCAATTAGCAGGTTTTCATTTTGATTGCAGTTTTGTCAGTGACCCAGCACAAGGTGATTGTCATGTGTTCACACTAGCAGTGTTTCTATGGGGCCAAAAGTGAGATGCACTTGTCGCTTCAGTGCCATTCTGTTGCTCAAGACAGCTTGTTGTTTTGACCACATGTCCTGGCCTGTAGGAAAGAGGCGGGTATGTTTGACATGCTTCCCGTGAGTGAGTTAAAATCAATTTAATTTAAAGGAAACAGAACTTAAAAAATACATGCAAAAATCACATAAATGTCAAATTATTTCAAATTGCCTCACCTCTCAATAACTGCATTATTTCTGTGTTGTAGAGTCGAGTATTTGATCTTATTAGCAATTAAAAAACTCAATGGTGTTCACTAAAATGCCCTGCAAACACCAACACTTTCTCACTTTTCTCTGCACGGCTCTACTTTCACAATCTTTTTTTTTCCACAATCGCTTTTCTCACGTGCAATATAGCCCCTTACTGTGTGCAATTTATCTCCCTTATGTGCAATCATTATTATATTGTACCATATTTTATTCTATTTTATTTATCTTTTATATTTTTTAAGTTCATTGTATCCACTATATGGATCTTTAACGTGTGTGTGTGTGTGTGTAGCTCTATTGCATTACATTTCTCAGCTCTTCCTATTTATAGTTTATTAGTTCCTTTTTCTTCCTGTCATGTTTTTTTGTCCTTTTTATCTTTTGTGCACTGTATCCATACTGCTGCAACAAGTGAGTTTCCCCATTTGTGGTGAAAAATAAAGTGCAATCTAATCTAACCTACCTTGGAAAAACAGACAGGCAAGGCACGCTGGCATAGTGCTTATCAATAGAAATGACAGTTTCTGTGACAACTCATACAGTGTGAAGGACGTTGCGTAACGTGAGTCTCTGTGAATGGCTTCCAAGAAAAATACTCTTGCTTGCTGTTTGGTACTAAACTGCATGCCTAAACTTTCTTTGGTTGGATGAGATTAATTTGATCAGTTCAGATGACGTCCGGCTTGTTTGGCAAGTACCTGGTCAGGATTACCACAGTCAATACGTAGTCCCGACAGTGAAGCTTAGAGGTGGGACTGTTAGATGGAAACTATGACCTGGCAAAGTATGTCGTCTGACTTGAATCCAGTGGAACACCTTGGGATGCTTGAGAGTGATGGGCAGTGCAAAACCATCCCTTTAGTAAAGAGCAGCAACGAAACATCTTTCTCAAGAATGCTAAAAATTGGGCGCCGCTATATATAGCTCACCTGGTTGAACTGGCGTCCCATGTATAGGGGCTACAGTCCCCTGATGTGAAGGTCATGAGTTCGAATCCTGCTCATGGCCCTTTTCCACAGGTCCTTCCTCCATTCTTCTCCCCCAGTTTTCTGTCTGTCTCGCTCACTGCACTATCAAAAAAAGGCCAAAAAATAGCTTTAGAAGAATGCTAGAAATTAGAGTTTTCACTGCTGGACCTGTATTTTTTAAATAGTAAATCTAAACTCTTATAATTTTACACAAGAACAAATACTGTACTGTTCAGTGCAGAAATAATGCAAGTTGTTAGAGGTTTTATAATTTTGAATAATTGGATATTTAAGTGGACTGCAAGGTGGAGCGGTGGTTAGCACCCTTGCCTCGCAGCTAGAAGGTCGCCGGTTCGCATCCTGGTGAGGACACCCGGGATCTTTCTGCGTAGATCTTTTCCCGTGCAGCGTGGGTTCTCTCCGGGTTCCAAAAACATGTTGAGGTTAATGGGTAAGTCTAAATTGTCCGTAGGTGTGAATGTGAGTGTGCTTGGTTGTCTGTCTCTAAGTGTGGCCCTGTGATAGACTGGTGACCTGTTCATTGTTCAACACCGGTTTCCCTCAGTATGTGCGGACTCCCGGTTTGCTGTCCTGGGCCTGGTTGAAGGGATTTTCTGAGCCAGAGGACTCATCCTGATGGTTAATGGACTGATAGGCGTCTCTGTTTCGTGATACTGAGGGAAAACCAAGGCTGACATTGTAATCTCCCCGTTCGCAGTACATTTGGTAGACAAAGAAGCAGGACGCAGGTTTGAGCCCTGTGCCTTCACCCTGAGTCAGCTGGGATAGGCTCCAGCCCCCCACGACCCTAGTGTGGATTAAGCAGTGTATAGATAATGGATGGATGGATGGAAGTGATACTACACAGAAGTGTACTCACGTCTGTTATATTCTGTGAGGTGAGATGCCTATGTATCATAGATTAACGAAGACGTGTTATCACCCTGGAATTTTCTTACGTAGCTTAATGTTGTTTCTGAGGTAAAAGAATAGTTTAAAAATAAAGTGTTTGGTCATGATATCCGCATCACAAATGTTTTCCTCAATATTTGTGTATTGGTCTATCAGCATTGGAGTCTGTTGACTTCTTCTCTGAAAATACACACTTTGCAAACTTCCCATCCCACTACTTGAAACATAAAGATTATGAACACTGAATTACAGCCATGTAAGTACTCAGTTAGTAAAAAGTCAACTACTGCAGCGTTGCTTAATATGTTCTCTTGGTGTTTACTGTGGTTACTGTTGAGAAAACGTTCCCATCAAGAACCTGTTTTATAGGAAACACCCAGTTAATCACACCCAATACACACCCTATATCCTTTCAGACTGACAGATAATCACACATAAGTGTAAAACTGCACTCAGATTAGGAGTTTACAGGCAGACTAATGTATAGCACATTAGTCTGATGGTTATTAGCCAGTGTATGCTCAAGGTGTGTTACGCGGCTACGCAGCAGTGTAGGAGTAAACTGCTTCATAGTGATCTTGTTTATTAGTTTTATCACCAAAAGGATTTCATTAGGAGTGTGGCAGTGGGAAAATAAACCCAAAATGAAGCAATCTAGAAACCTACAGATCAGCATAGAGCATAGAAACATACTAGCCGCGTCCACTCTGAATACCTTTATTTTATTTTTGTCAATTTCTTCATTCATTTTCATGGGAGTCAGGCGAACTCACATCAGTGCAGCTTGTGTTTGCTCTGCGCTTTGTTATTCAGCACAGCAGCAGTATCACTAATTGCACTGGAAAGAGGAAGTGAGATGAGGAGAAGTTTTGCTTCTCTAACACCGAGCTGAGCTGTGGGGAAGTTAGCAAATAGCATCAGTGTCGTACCTGTCTTTTAACCCCTTTCAAGTGCTTGAGCTTAAACAGACAGACTCCATAAGAGGCAGCATGCAGTTTGCAAATACAGTTGTATGCATGCCCTTTAACAGTTCAAGTAATGTGAGTTTACATCTGTCTGACATTTCACTCTTCACAAGGCTTGACACCTTTAAGCCATCACTTAAAATAATGTTCTTATTTCCTCTTATTAGTCAGGTAAATAAGAGAGGTGTACTCAATCTGTTTTAATCTCTCTCTAATTGGTTGAAGGACGTCTATCTTGTCTTAACGAGTCAGGTCAGAGTGCCACGACTCGGTCAAACGGCTGTGAAAACAAAAACCTTCTCAAGTACCGGCTCATCTGCAAAGAAAGTGTTTGAAAAGGCTGCTAAACCTGCAGCGTGTCTCCAGTTGTTCTGGAAGCTTAAAGTGATCAAGGACAGACAGGCCAAAGCGTAGCAGCTTTGAGCGGTGTGTGAATATCATTTCATTGTTTACTGTGTCTGTTAACTTTTATTGGCCTCCTCTGTCTTTGATATTTACGGGCCTTGTTATGTCTTTGGGCTGGCTTAAATTATAATGAAAATCAGATCTACATGGCATTTCAAAGTTGATCAAATTTACTTTCAAGGAGGCGACTCACTAATAAGCCACTTCAGTAAAGGGTTTTAATGTAAGCTTATTAGACGGAGAACGGAAACAAAACACCTCAGTAGCTCTTACAAAAGCTGCTTCTTCAACATTACGAGGAACACACAGCCACTTTTAGAATCACTGATGGCAGGAAACAGTGAAAACGTGAGTATTTACAGAAATGATTGCCTTCTTTTAATCTGTGACTAAAAAGAGGAACTTTGGTCAGTTCCTACTAGCAGTAAAACAGTAGCCCTGCCTGCAGTGTGTTTACTGACAGACCTAATAATTGTAAAACTGTAGAGTTTTATAAGTGTTGAGCACACAAGTTACAACCCTATAGGCTGATACTCTTTATTTTCCACCCTTTAAAGGTAGTGCAGGTGAGAGGGTGAGCAACGGCAAGTAAATGAGAGTTTCTCGTAGCATTTCTGTTCTTTTTTTGTCTTCTGTCGCACGCTGCGCTTTCAGTCAATAACTGATGTAATTATGCTTGTGACAGCGGAGTAGTTGTATCAGAATCAGCTCCTTTAATGTATGAATACTGTACACCGCTGCAAACATTTAAATAATTGCAATAAGCACGGTATGGGTGCCAAGCTAAAGGGCAGTTTTGTTTTCGATGCAGCCACACAAGATAAATATAGGTCTAATGCTTTTACGAGGATGAGTTTTCGCTCTCTCTGCCTCACTTTCTCTCCCACTCTCTCCGTCTTACTCCCTCTCTCTGGGTCTGTCACTACATGATTCAGCGGTTGGCTAAATGTTAATTATAATTTGTGGCATGTAAAAAGAAGCTCCAGGTCTCATACCAGCGATAATCACATTCATGGACGGATTTTCTTTACATTTATATGATTTTCGGGGCATAATAAGCTTTATGTGCCTGTCTCAATTTAGTGTTTTTGTACACATCATTTAGTCTGACATCATCGTATAATGTGAATAATATAAGTAGTCCCACTGTGGCATTTTTTTTATGTAGCATTTACCAGACTGGTGTGAAGTTTTGGGTTAAAAATATGAGAAATTCTGCCTCTCATTCATTCATTCATTCATTCCCATGCAAGATTTCACAACTTTGTCCAAGCATTAGACTCGTCTTTATTCTTATCACGCATCCATGTACCGGTAACGGAGCTACACCTCAGCAGGGCATCTTTAATATGCCGGGTATTTTCAGAGCGGATAACCGCTTTTTGGAATAAATGTGAAGTGAGCGTCTGTTTTGCTGTTAAAAATTTTCAAGCAGTTATTATTTTTTTTCTAAATGTTTTCATCATGCAAATCTCACAGGGAGAGTCCAGCAGCAACAGGGTAAACAGCGCGGTTTTTGTTTACACATATTGATTCCGGAATAGAAATAATCTATCTCGTACATATGACACCGCGATTTGAAACATCTGCAGCATAAAGATGCAGCAGCAGGAGCGTGTTTTGACTCGTTCAGCATGGGGAGTGTGAGATTTCTCACTTTAAACAGTCTGTGCGCTAAAGCTCCTTGCATTGATTTATTTATTTTTTTTCAATTCTAAATTCTGCTTTCATTTGGTTGTGCATACATTGAGTATTTGCTTAGAAGGTTAGTGAATGTGAACCTTGTTGTGAGACGTTTTTTTGCCTCCGACATCGGAGAACAAAGCTGTTGAATGCAATGGATACTGTATTTAGGTCAAGTGTAGGACATGACAATCAGTGGACAATGACAAAGCAGGAGTGTCTCTGCGTTTGTTCACCTGAGTTGATGGATTTTCTATCTGTTAATGTTTTTTTTTTTTTGTGTGTGTGTTTGTTCCCTCAGAGTGTCCCACTGTTTCAGCTTCTAGATGGGTGAATCAGGCTCACGCCGTTCCACACTTGTTTCCCGCCTGCCAATTTTCCGCCGCAGCAACAGTAAGAGGCAGGAGTCTCTCCCCTCCTCTCCATCCTCAGGCGGAGTGGGAAATGGCGTCCACACGTCCTCGCCTTCCAGCACCAACTCCAGTTCAGGCAGCACCGGGAAACGCCGGAGCATTTTCCGCACTCCGTCTCTCAGTTTCTCAGCTAAACGAAACAGTGATCCACGTGTCCAGCCTATCAACCTAAACCTCACTCCTCCCCTGTCGCAGAGCACTGACGCAAATGGAAACAACCAGCAAACAATAACAACGTCAGCGTCCACAGCGTTCAGCGATAGTAGCGGTGGGCGCCCTAAGTCACGCCACTCATTTGGGTTTGGCAGCCACAGGCAAAAGAAAATAACCCGCTCTCAGACTGAGGACTTTGAAAAGGCTTCCTCATCCTCCTCCACAACCAATCGAAATGTGTTCATCAACTGCATCAGCGGCTCAGGGGCCAACGAAGGTGACGACTCCGGCTTCCTCGATGACTACAGCGGTGGCAGTAATAACAACAAACGGTCAACACGCCAGAAGAAACAACTTCTGCCCAAGTCTTTCTCAGCTCACCACCGCTTCTCCCGGACATCTGATCACCACAGACCTCCAGAAGTAAACCTGGAACCTCCGAGTTCTACAACCGTCACTCCGGGGGCAGGAGGGCTCACCCCGGGGTCATGGCCCGGTGAACTGCTCGGTGCCGGTGGTGAGAGCTCCCTCCAATCCCCTATGATATCAGAGGATCGAACCACCGCCATCACCCCTTCAGAGTTTATTCCCATCACAGAAGACTCTGTATCCGAGGTGGATGCGCTGCCAGCTCCAAGCCCTGCTTCTGGTGTGGAACCAGGACCTGCCTCTGTGCCTGGGCCTGCTACTGACACGACTCCACCTGACCCACCACCCGCTCCGGAGAACTTCAGCGTGGCCGTCTCTACCTCCCAGGTAGTGTGCTTGTTATATCTAAGAAGCTTTGAAATCAAATGGGGTTAATCAATGTAGAGGTGCTGTGTGTTTTATGCTAAAAACATTGCTTGTTATCAAGAGTGCAGTTGCGTGAATGTGCTGATAAAAATGCACCATGCTAGCTTGTTAAATTATTTTAGTAATAACTCTTCTTGTAAACAAGTACGCTCACTAACAGCTAGATAAAAATATGAGTGCTTCAGGAATTCACAGTACAACCACAGGTGCCCTTGGATGTCGACAACAACAACCGTAAAGGATGAATATTTGTGACCACTGTTGGGAGTCTGTGAAATGTGGCATAAAAATTGAGCATCGGGCATGAAAAGTCCTTTTATAGAAAGAGCTGAGGCAGGAAAAAGAAAACTTGTGCATGTCTGCAGACTGCCCTTCACCACCTTTTTTGCTTGCAAGTTATCCTCCTTCAAAGAATTTATTCAGTTATGTCTTTGTAGAGGAGGGAACTCAAAAAGTGAAACCCATTTATCCACTGTAATGGCTGCGAAAACAAAGCTCTGTACTTCATGTTTTGGCCACAGGAGAGTAAATGCGGTATGACTTTGCTGTCTTAACATGCCCACTTTAGTGCCTGAGGACACAAACATCCACCTCTTAAATACTTGCTGAAGTGGGATCTTCTCTCTAACCTGCCACATTTTCGCCTCATTAACTTGCCAGTGAAATATGTTCTTTTTCTACACATGCTCAATAACGTGTCCTGTCCTCAGGTTTTCTTCACTCCAGCCCAGTCCAGTGCTGAAAAACCATTACTCCCTGATACCAGCACAGCCAACAACACAGACTATGAGACTGCCATTTCCCTCTCAGAACCAGAGACAGCTGTACCCTGCGCACCTCTGCAGGAACAATCACTGGAAGAGAGGAAGGAGAGAGAGGAGGAAAGAAAGGAAGCGAGGAAAGAGGTGCCAGCCGAAAAGAGGAAGGAGTTAGTCCAGGAGAGGAAGACAGGCTACCACACAGAGACCACGAGTGAGAGCGAGGCCTGTGTGGTGCGCAGTGAGGGTTGTCACTCTAACCCCGAGCAGTCGGAAAGGAGGGCGAGAAACACGCTCTCTGTTCAAGAAAGAGGAAGCTTCTGTGGCTGCCATGAACCCAGGTCCTCTCACTTGAGGAAACCGCATGCAGGTACGAAACTCATGCAAGCACTTGTAGTAAAATCACAGATTTGCATATGAAGCCACAGCCACAGAAACACAGATGTCGTACTCATGTGTGCAGTGAGTGTCACAGAGACCCACAGACAAACTCAAAACATAGTATTTGTTTGGCATTCCTTTGCTATGAGGGCTCCATGAAATTGTTATCTTAAATCAACAATACTGTCTTCTGTGTGGGCTTGTTGGGTCATCAGATAGCTGGATTTCTTCATTGTCATTGCCAGAGTACAACACATAACAAAACAGCAGTTGAACATAGAAAGATATAAAGCTATGAACAAAATAGAAAATATTTGCTGCAATGCCTAAAGCAACAGGGCATAAGATTCAAAACAATAAGATATAAAACAGTACAGTTGTCAGCAGCTGAGATATTATAGAACATTGCACATGTGCTGAATAGCAGTGGCCTTGTGTACATGTAGTGCAGTTTGGAATTTAGACGTACAAAAGTGATGCAGAAATGCTGAAATAACTGTGTATTGTGTTACAGTACAGGGTAATCACTCAAGCCGCATACAGTCAGTGTCAGTGTTTGGCATTGTTCAGTTCTCGTATGGCTCTAGGGTAGAAGCTGTTCTTAAGTCTATTATCCTGTGATATGATCGATCTGAAATGTCTACCAGAGAGCAGCAGGTCAAAGAGATGATGTCTAGAGTTGGAGGGGTTGTTCAGTATGTTGGCTGCTCTACTGAGGCAGAAAGACCTGAATAAGTCCTCCAAAGAAGGCAGTGGGCATCTGGTTGTCTTTGGGTGGTATTGATGACCCTCTGAAGGACTCTCCTGTCTCTCCTGCTAAGCTGCTGGTGTACCATGTAGAGATACAGTGTGTCACCACACTCTTGATGGTGCAGAGGTAGTAGGTCTCCTGCAGATGGGTTTCCCTGAGGATCCTTAGAAAGTAGAGCTGGGTGCTGTGCGTTCTTGACTACTGTTGTGATGTTGCTAGTTCAGGCGAGATCTTTAGTCATGTACACATCTGAAAACAGGGACCTTTTCCATGCAAAAAAAGAAAATGGATTGATGTTTGCAGTATTCTTCTAGATGTTCATTATGCATTAATTTGCCTTTGAGGTGTTCAGGATGACCAGATGTTTAGAACACCACACTGCTAGTCGCTGGACTTCATTCCTGTAGTCTGTTTTGTGTTCTCCTGAGATGATTCAATCTTGTTGATGATGACATTGGTGGGATGGGTAAGGGCACAATAATGAATGCATACAGCCCTGTGGAGTGTAAGAGTGGAGGAGAGGTGGATGAGTTGGAGAAGTCCCTAAGTCAATAAGTTTAGTGACCAGTCTGCACAGAATGATGAAGTCTATGAAAAACATCCTCATGTAGCTCCCTTGCTGTTCAAGATGGGTCACTGTGGTGTGAGGAGCACCACTTCTTCCTCAGACCAATTCTTTCATAGGTAAGCTGCTGTAGGTCAGTGGTGGGTGGAAGGCTGGGTTTATGTGCTGCAGGATCGTCTTCTTGACGCATTTGATGATGATAAATGTAAATGTGAGTGGCTGGTAGTCGCTGGAGCTTCTGACAGTTGTCTTTGGCAGTGGAATGATCATAACGAACAGTAATTAAATGCAAATTTTGATGTAAATAGAGAATGTTGTTTGCTAGGAAAACATACACTTTCTTTGTTGACTTAGATGTTTTTTTTTTTTTTATTATTATACTCTCTTTTGTTTCCCTTGTTTCTGTTTTTGCTTTCTCGCTTAGACACTCACGCAAAAATAAATGACTAAACTACATTTAACGTAGTAAATAATTACCTCTTTGTGATTCAAAGTGTAACAGTGGAAATGCTAATGTTTTTTCCTGAGGGTAATATCTGCGGATAAATAAATAAAATATTAATCATATCAAACATCAGTCATGGCAATAAAAAAAAAACAAAAAACAAAACCCAGTATATACAGCTGACTTAATGTCAGGACTTTAAATTATGCTTTGCCATGAAAAGAAAGTTAATTTAAAAATAGATATGACTAAATTCCTGTTAATATGCAGTCACTGTTATAAGTAGTCTTCAAAAACATTTACAATAATCTATATCGAAATGAGTTAAACATTTATTAGGTAGTTGAAGTGATACAGTGCTAATGCTCTCTGAATGTTGTTTGGTTTTATTGCTTCCCTATGCATGGCTGAACAAGTGTGAATAAGATAGCCAGTAAAAATCTTTGAGAGTTCATTACCAAGCCTCTCAAAGAGATTCCCCCAGGAAACTGGTAAGTGGAGTTGGTGCAAGCTGGGCTAATCAGATTTTAAGTAATATTATACTGATGTCCCACAGCTTGTTTCCGTTTGATAACTGAAGACTATGAGCTGGCTAGTATTGATATGTAGAGCATAATACTTTCCCACCTTCAAAATTATTTGCTAATTCAAAGTTTTAAATGAGAATCCTTCCAAACTTTGCAAGAAAATTAACAGCTGCAAATCAGATTTAAAAGTTAAGATAGTTAACACGGAGAAAAGCCTCATAAATCAGTGCTGGTTTTGGGCTGACTGAAACAGTCAAACTGAAGGTGTGCTCCTTAACCAAAGATAATTTGTTGTATCCTCCTGAGCTCACCTTTAGCTGCTGCAACATAACACAGAGGAGTTTATTTAGCTCAGCTTTTTCTGTTACCAAAACAAAACATGAACAAAACCCCCCCGCCCTAAGCTGCAGTCCATAATTAAGATTCCGATAAGTGTTTGCCTTGCGTCATACTTTGATCAGACACTAAAAAAAAAAAGAAGTCGTGGCTAAGTTTATTTACCGTATAGCTCACCTGGTTGAGCTGGCGACCCATGTACAGGGGCGACAGTCCCTGATGCAGCGGTCGTGGGTTCGAATCCCGCTCATGGCCATTTGCTGCAAAGGCCAAAAAAACAACTTAAAAAAAACAAACAAAAAAAAACAGCAACACCAAAGTGATGAGACTTGTGAATAATAAAAAATAACAAGTATTACAATTCCATTTATGAAATATGGACATTTATGTACATTCCACTGCAAACTTTGCTAAAGGAAGTATTACTGATAAACGCAATTTGATATAATATCATCCTTTTGTTCTGCAAAGTGTGTGTTGTTATGTATTCTAAAGTGGGTGTAGTTGTTGGGCCATCTGCCAGCAGTTGCTTAGTGTGGTATTAATGGCTTATTGGTTGTATATATCATTTTGAACACAGACACATACACACAGAAAGTGTGTTGCAGTACATGCTTGCAGGAATGTAGCTGAATATTGATTTGCACTGTGAGTTTCTAGCTTCCCGCGAGTGGGATCAACAGATACACAACAGCAAAAAACAGAGTGAGCTGGTATGTTGGAATAAACAACAACAGGATTTTCTATATTTATTTTGCTAACAGTGTCACGGGCCTCTGTGAAAAAGATTCCTATCTACTGTAGATCTTTCTGGATGAAATGGTGTGAAACTCTTGTAAAATGGTTGTAGACACAAAGAAACATGCTAATCATGGGGCCTCCTCAGTGTCGTACATCGATCAGCCACAGCAATAAAAGTGAAGTGAATAACGTTTATCATCCCGTTACAATGGCGCCTGTCAAGGGGTGGGATATATTAAGCAGCAAGTGAACAATCAGTTCTTGAAGTTGATGTGTTGGAAGCAGGAAAAATGGGCAAGCGTAAGGATCTGAGCGACGTTGACGAGGGCCAGATTGTGACGGCTAGACAGCTATGTCAGAGCGTCTCCAAAACAGCAAGTCTCGTGGGTTGTTTCGTATATGCAGAACCAAACAAAAGTGATCCAAGAAACTGGTAAACTGGTGACAGGGTCATGGTCTGAAGCATGACGAGCAACTGATAGGAAAAAATTGTTTAGGTTATGGTTTGAGAAACGAGACAAATAGTTCAAAGTGTTGACTTGGCCTCAACATTCCTCTGATCTCAACAGTTCACTTCATGGATGCCCCAGCTCACAGTTCCCAGGACTTTAATCTGCTGCTAATGTCTTGGAACGTGATATGTCAGGACACCTTCAGAGTTTCCTGTGGAGTCCTCCCGTGACGGGTCAGAGCTGTTTTGGCAGCCCGAGAGGCACCTACACATCATTAAGCTGGGGGTTTTATTACAGTGGCTGATCAATGTAAAGTACACAACACAAGTGAGTGCAATGTCACGTGAATGTCAAATGATTTAAAAGTGTCTCACCTTATAGTAATTATAGTACCACTGAGCTGAACAGTTGGGTGATTGCTCTAATGTAAATTTAAAAGTTGTAGATTAAATTTACAATATTCAAATACAGTAGAAACTCTCAAAACCTGTAACTTATTTTCCTTTTCAATAATTTGTATGCCTACATTTTTTTTTTTTTCGATGGCAGACTCAGTCCTTGATGCCAGTGTTGCACACATTTCTGGAGAGATGTTCTTCTCTGCTCAATATTTTTCAGCTGTTCTTTGCTGGAGGGGTTGTGTTGCTCTACCATTTTCTTTAAGATACCTGAAAGGTGTTCTGTTGAATTTAAGTCAGGTGAGACAATTGGCCAGGTGATAGTTTTAACTTATTTCTTCAGAAACTTTTGTGTGATTTTGGCAGTGTACTTTGGATCATTATCATACTGGAATCCTCCTCGTCTGCCTAGCGTCTGGAGAGTGAGAGACAGTTTGTTAGTCAGTGTTATGATATATCCACAGGCATTTATAGCTGCAAAAAAGAGGAAGGCAGACAATGGTTAGCAGTAGGTCCTGAGTTGTTTTTTTTATATAGCCTGTTGCTCAATGAGAGGATGTGGTATTGTCTTTCTGTTTTCACTTTGTATCTGTTAGTGCACATATAACAATCCTCCATGTGCCTGACTGAAAATTAATTCCCCTCAAATCTCACATTCATTCTGTAGTTATGTTGTTACGAAGCAATCTCGGTGTAGGAACTCAGACTAAACTTGATTATTACAAAACAATAAATACCATTAGACCGAAAGCAATATAGCTTAATGAAGGGAAGATATAACCGAATGCCGAAGAAGTAAAACCTGCTTTTGTCATTTACTTTTATGAAAGGAACCCTATCTTTTTCAGGAAATGGGGCTGACTGCATTAGAAATATAATAAAAAGATGATTATATCTGCTTCTGGAATCACAATTTCACCTAAATCCATTATTTCTCTGCCTGTCAGAGTTTGTGATTCTCTTTGTTTCTCTCTTTCCTCCAGCTTCTCTTTGTAGCAGTGTCAGCCCCTACCATGAGGTGATGCGGATGGAAAGGCGTCTGCGCTCCTCGTCTGAGGGGGCTGGTGGGCCTCGTATCCATGGAAACCACAGAGATGCCCCGGGCTTGGAGGGATGCGGTTTGCTTAAACACAGAAACAACTCCTCATCATCTAAACTGGGAAGTCTGGTAGGTTGTGAACTGTGTTTATTTGCATGTAATTTTTTCAGTAGATTTTTATATCATACATTTTCGCATCATGCAATTATATTTTATTTGACAAGTTTTAGGTTATGCTCAGTTATTATCATACCACATTTGCGCCACTAGTAGTTTGTTTGTGAAATGTACAGTGCAGTTTACATTCGTCTTGATATGTTTACATAAAGCACAACTAAAACCCAGATGCACATACACACAAGCGGCACAAGCAATTAGCATGACTAAATAGCTCATTACGCACTACTGCTTCTTCTGTACATCCTCACAACAAACGCATGGCAAGTTTATTTGTAGAGAACTTTTTTAAACACAAAGACAAGAGAAAGTAGTTTACATAAAACAAAGGAATTAATTATACCAACATTTAAAAATGCAACAAAGAGCAAAAAGAATCAATTAAAATAGAAAATTAGACAGAGTAAAAATCTGGCAAAAGTGACTAGTCATACATTTCTGTACAGGGCGGTAATAAATTACAACTTTAATAAAGGAAATAAAAGTCCAGTAGAGAACATTAATCTGTCCAAGACATAAAAACAAGAAAGAAATATGCTTTCCTCAGGGTGTGTTTGGAAGTATGTGTATTTCTTTGCTTTATTTCATTCTTGTGTCATTATTTAGTCTCTCTGTGGTTTCATATTTATGCATGTCATTTGTGTCAAGGTAAAAAGGAGGACGCAGGTGCTTTTGTTTTGTAGTCACCATTGCTGTCCTAAAAGCACAATTTTCATCCATCCATTATCTATACACTGCTTAATCCTCACTTGGGTCACGGGGGCGCTGGAGTCTATCCCAGCTGACTTAGGGTGAAGACAGCACACTCAAATTCACACCTACAGACAATTTAAAATCGCCAATTAACCTCAACATGATTTTGGACCTTGTGGGAGGAACCCGTAGAACCCGGAAAGAACCCACGCTGCACGGGGACAACATGCAAACTCCACACAGAAAGATCCCGGCTGTCCTCACCGGGACGCGGACCTTCTTGCTGCAAGGTGACGTTGCTAACCACCGATCCACCTTGCAGCCCCAAGCACAATTTTAAGTTTACAAATATCCATAACACCAAGAATATTTAAGGCAACTTAGTTCCTTCTCGTATTTTTAAGTCAAATGTCGTTCACTTCATCCCATTAGTTTCTCTTCCACAATTCTCTTGATCCTTCACAGCCACTTAAGTGTTATTTTCAGTCTTTCTCTCATGCTTGTCACAATCAATAAGGCCACTTTGGTGACAACTTTACGCACACTGAAATGACCTGAACTTCTCCACAGATTATTAGGCATTGCTGTCACTTTATCGCAACGGGAAGATTAATTGCAAAGTGATATTTAAACAGCAACTGCAGACGTGGGAGTTATGCAAAATGGCTCGCAGATATTTGATGTCCACAAACTTGAATCCAAGTGTAAAAGAGGCACCATCTGCTCTTAACATCTTATTTGTGAAGCTGTTTACTCATACTTACAACTCTGCATATCCAGGACGAGAATTATAGTTTCCTTATAGAGTAACTTTGAGCTCGATTACCAAATTGCCGTTACATCTACAGGATGAGGCCTGCTCTTAAAAGGGATAAAAAGAGCAGATGTAATTGGCCACAATTATACCCAGCTGCTCACAGATTCCGCTATAATGCACTGCACGATACTTAGTAATCTCACCCAGCTCTCATGCCTCTGGCCATGAAAATACTAAAAGTGTTTCGACATGCCCTGGGCAAACCAAACATAGTGCACTTGATTTTGTTTTGCAGCTCTGAGTCACGAAAAGGTGCATAATGTTCGCTCACTTTTAATGTGAAAAAACTGCAAAACATATTTCCACATATTTGCGAAAAGGTTTATTTTAAAATTAACTGTGCCTGCTGTCTTTCACAGCTACAACAAAAACAGATATGTTGATGGGAACCGAGTGTCTTGATAATCTCAGAAAGTGGGATTGGAAGGTATTTAATGTATTATAAAGCGAGGTAACAGAGAGATGCCACACATGTAATAGTGATCTTTATTATTGTATTGATTTTGTCACAACAAAGTGGTGCCACAAAGCAGAGTTGCAGAGTACTTTGGAAGTACTTTGAAAAACTTCTTTAGTCATCTGTAGGATTTAGGCACCATATCCTGTTGGTGAGCTTAACAAACATTGCAGTAGTGTCTGTTGACGCACGCTTTAGCTATATCCACTTTTGTGTCTGGGAAAAGACTATAACTGCGACGGCTATGCGTTGGTTCTCTTTCAGCAGACACGAGGAAGCTCGCTGGGAGGAAAGCTAGTTTAAGTCAATCCCATTTATGCTACCAGAGACTATAGGCTTCTGCTGAGAGATTAAAGAGGGCAAGGATACACACATCACGTTGCTGTGTACCTTGCGCACTGCAACTGCCTCTTGGCATACACTTCACTAAACATGGTGTAATCTCCTCCTTTTCTCGTCTGTGCCTATGAAGGGCCCTTTAGGGGCCTGAGTCATGGAGGGGAAGGTGTGAGCTGGAGAGTGTATATTAAATTATGTACAACCACTCTTAGCTTCATAAAAGTTTTTTGGTTTGCTGGAGGCACTTGTAGCTAATGAAAAAGTCTGGATTTAGACACTTCAGCTCCTGTTTTAGCCCGAGTGTGTTTGCAAGAGATGCAATGTAAATAAAAGTATGCAAAAATAACATCTTTTAATTAAAAAGATAACTAAAAGTAGTAAGGGTATGAATAGAAGGATTAAAATGGTCTTTTGGTTGTTTGTGCACAGACTATGTAGCTGACTGGTGTTTATGTGTTAAGGATGCCTGTGGGGCGTTGCACCTGTGGCAGACAGACTACAGCATACGACACAGTGGATACGCTGTGTTGTTGCTTTGTCATTACAGCTCAGATGGAGAATAATTACCACAAAGCAAACGAACATTTGGTTTACAGTCACCAAATGACTAGATTGTTGAGTTCACAGAGAGAAACTGTGAAACGCATCAGTGGAGAGAAGCCAGCCTATGCTATTGCTTGAGCTGCTTGGTGATCTCATTCCAGTTGTTATTGTGTTTTTGTCTCAAAATCCCGTCAGGAGGAAGCTGTGAGATATTTATTTTACCAGCATATTCAGTGTTGGTTGTGCATAAGTCTCTCAATGACAGCTGTGATAATACTGTGACAGGCTGACAGTGATTACGTTCCAAACGAGCACACAAAAAAGAATTACTTAAGATGTTCCCAAGAAATTCTCTCTTATCTCCGAGACAAGCTGAACAACTTTGAACATGCACTTTTGTTAGTAGTTTGAGTGACATATATGGCAGAATAGTTCAACTGCATTCCACTTTACTTTGGATGTGTTGCTTATGCATATCAACAGTTGCTTGGCAGCTTGCTTCCCAGACAGTTTTGTGCTGCAGAGTGCCTCTTGTTTTCATATCCTCCACCCTGATTGATTCACTTCCTCTTCCAGACAGAATTTGTAATTACCAGACGGTTAAGTTTTAAAATGGAAAAAACACTGAGGATGTTTGCAAATATTGCTACTGAATGCTAATCACATAAAAACACAAACAATTATGGCATGCACATCAAATCAAATCGAATATAAAAACAAAAACAAACAAACAAAACTGTATTTTCTCTGAGGCTACCGTTCCGGATGCACAATGGTCACATTGTAGAGCACTGAAAATGGTGATTTATGACAAAAATTCCATGACTAATACACAACCATTCATAGTTATTGGCACCAGTGCCTGGATAAGTCCAAATGCTATAAGATAAACAGTACTAGTGTCAGCATTTTGTGATTATAATATGACTTCAAGGCAAATTTGTAGAAACACAGTCCTACTACGAGAGATTACAAGCCAGACACAGTGGTAGTTGCAAACAGTAGTCATGTTGCTTCACTTAAATGTTTGAGTTTCAAATCCATTTCTCTTTTGTAAGATGTGGACTTCACGTCACCACCACTTCTGCTGTGGGAATACAAGCATGTTCATCAACACGTAGAACAGCTTCTAGCGCTGCATTCACAAGATAAATGCTCTTTTTTTGTCTGTCTAGTTATATCATGGCAATTATGTCAGCCGAACATCTTTTTCACATCTAAATAGGATTATTTTTAAATCATTGAACAGCGTAGAGGTTAATAAAATGGTAAATGTGCCCAGAAAGAATAGAGTTGATAGTCAATTAGGGGCTCATTAGCTATCAGACAGGAACAAAAGTCTGCAGAACTCCTGCCCTCGAGGATTGGAATTGCCTGCCATGGCCATGTAGAAGTCAGATTTAAGAATGTTTCTTTTAATATACTGGAACTTCTTTTCCCCCACAGCGATGTGCCTAAAGACCTTAAAGTATATTAATAGCTTCTTGATTATATTGGTGCATTCAACAAGTATTTTTACTTTGTTCTGATTTTTTTGAAATGACTACAAAGAGTGAGCTTGTAAGTCGATCAGCAAGCTCATGAAAATAGAATGAAAACATGTAATTGTAAGCTGATAATGTGATAATGATCTAGTGTTCACTCCTTGAAGTTCCAACAACTCCATCCATCCATGATCTATACACCGCTTAATCCTCACTAGGGTCGCGGGGGGCTGGAGTCTATCCCAGCTGACTCAGGGCGAAGGCAGGGGACACCCTGGACAGGTCACCAGTCTATCACAGGGCTACACTTAGAGACAGACAACCAAGCACACTCACATTCACACCTACGGACAATTTAGAATCACCAATTAACCTCAACATGTTTTTGGATCTTGTGGGAGGAAGCCGGAGAACCCGGAGAGAACCCACGCTGCACGGGGAGAACATGCAAACTCCACACAGAAAGATCCCGGGTGTCCTCACCGGGACGCGAACCTTCTTGCTGCGAGGTGACGGTGCTAACCACCAAGCCACCTTGCAGCTCTTATGTGGACTAGTCAAAGCAAAAAAAAAAAAAAGCACAACTGGTGATTAATGTCAAATAAATTCTGGTATGTCCCAGTGAAAGTGCTTCCAGTCCATTAGGACAGGCAAAATTTACTGACACGGTGGGACAGAAATTAGCCTGGGTCAGATTGTCAATATAAACCCACAAAAATACTTGCATATAAGTTTGTGCTCTTTACTCCCAATCTGCACCTCTGCTCCTCTGCTGATGTGCTGTTTTGCCATGTAATTATGAAACGATAGAAAAGTGTTTATCAAGGTGCATCCTCTCAGACCAGCTGGACATTAGAGATCCTGTTGATAGACTGGCCTCATCATGAAGCAAAATCAGTTTGCATCCGGGACCTGATATGTCTTAATGAAGTGGGTGCAAAATCACATCTGATCACAATTTCAGCTATCCCTCTGAAAATGCCTGCAGAATATCAAAAGTCAGGAAAAAGTAGCACCTAAAAAGAATGAAATTTTGTGTTATGATTCATGCTTGTGCTTTCATGCTGTGACATCTCAAAATGTCTGCTAACATGCCTGCATCCCCCAAAATGACCTTCTTCAATCTGAATTTGCAATATATAGTCCTCCAGTCTTCCGAAAAAGATGACAAATTACAGAAGCAGGAAATGTGGATATTTCCCTATTTCTGACTTTCTGCTTCAACATCGTCATTCTCTTCCTGTAACCCAAATGTCGATACGGTTTCTAGCAAAGTCAACAGTATAAAGCAATGGGTTTTGGTATTCATGTCTTCTAATTTTTAAATGGCATTGCTTATTGGATATCAAAAGGTTGTTTGTCACAGGATTGATATCTATGTGTATTGACAGGAGTAGATAACTGTTCGAAAATGAGAAATTTTAGGTGATAAACTGTGTGGGGGAATTTTTATGCCTCTGTGCTGATAAGAGCAAAGGTCAACTTCACTGTGACATTCAGAACCATAACTCAGGAGCAGAAGGGGAGATTGTGGCCATATTTCACATGAAATCGGATACTCAGTTAGGAGCACTAGTCTTGAGTGCCCACCTCAGAACTGTAATGCCTGTATAGATCTTGTGTACTACCGGCTTTAAGAAGGTCTGGAGCTTTCAGGTTTTGGTTTTGGAATTGGTAGCTTCTTTGCACTAACATGTTTCAAGCTGCAGGGTGGCTCGGTGGTTAGCATCATTGCCTCGCAGCAAGAAGGTCGCCGGTTCGCGTCCCGGTGAGGACACCCGGGATCTTTCTGTATGGAGTTTGCATGTTCTCCCCGTGCAGCGTGGGTTCTCTCCGGGTTCTCCGGCTTCCTTACTCACAGTCCAAAAACATGTTGAGGTTAACTGGTGATTCTAAATTGTCCGTAGGTGTGTGAGTGTGCTTGGTTGTCTGTCTCTAAGTGTAGCCCTGTGATAGACTGGTGACCTGTCCAGGTGAACCAGCCTTCACCCTAAGTCAGCTGGGATAGACTCCATCCCTCCACGACCCTAGTGGGGATTAAGCGTTTGGATGGATGGCTGTTTGAAGCATCGTCTACTGTCATGGTTTCAACTTTTTTTTTCCATCAGAATCCTCCTCATTGGCAATGCATGCCAACACAAAGAAGGAATCTGAGTCTTTTCTTTTGTTTCTCTCTGTGAACTTGCACACTTCAAAGGCTTCACTTTTATATGAGTCTGGACAGACATAGATGTAAACTACAACTTGACTGGTTGGCGGAGGCACACAACCGCAGGGCAGTAATTCTAGTTTTTTCATGTAGGCTTTATTCAACAAACGGATTTCCAGTTTGACTGGACATCCAGACCTTTATGCCCTCAGGCACATTGTAAACACAACTGGCTGTGAAGCGTCTGCTCAGACAGAATGAAAGTCATTTGTTAGTCCGTATATTTTCCATTGCTAGAAGCCATAATACCTGACTGCAAAGTCAAATCACTCTCCCTTGATCTTAATGCATTTGCCACCCTAAAGCACTGAATAAATGTAATTTTCATAGACTGGATATATGATTTCCACAGAGTGTGAACAGAAACCAGTGGCTTTAAAAGGACAGAAAGAACCCTCTTGCTTCCTCTTATTCCTGTTTTGGATGTCATTCTGCTTGGCAGTTAGGAGATGGAGCCATTTTTTAATGAGACCAGAATCTGATATTATCTCTATTAACTCAAGGATTATACTCACTCAAATCACGTAAGTGAGGTAAAAGGGTGACATCTCTGGGTTGTAAAATCATATTAACACATTTCTGTGGTTAGAGGGGCACATTAAAATGGGTAATTTAGCTTCAAATGAAGTCTGTGTGCAGTGGCATCACACGGTATGGGTCTTCATTTCTTTTCCAATACCTTTTAGCTATTAGCTTTAATGCCTGAAATGAGGTCTTGTGTTGAGGTGCATTACGCTGAAATGCATTCTGGTCTTTTTTTGATGTTTACTGCAGTGAGCATTTGCTGAAAAAATGAAAGAAACTGAAACCACCAGTGTAATGTCACATGTTTATACACAGTCTACACTGGCTTTACATAGATTTTGCAATGGAAAACACTGATTGGAAATCCAGTCTCTTGCACAGCAACACAACAGTGATGAGAGCTGCACTGAGTTGAGTATTGGGTTTTCTGATCCATCTCTATCTGCAGGAACTAGACGAGACTGGAACACAATAGGATATCGAAAAAATAAATAAAATCTCAGTGGTGCTCATTTTTATTGGTATTTGCCTTGGAATTATTGTACACCTTCATGTTTTGCTGGTGAAATCAATTAGGCAGCATTATTTTTGACCTTTTTATTGCCTTTTTCTTTTGGGTCCAGAGATTTTATGCTGATGGTAAAGTAAGTTTCCAGGCTCCCTGAATTACTGTGTGGTATTAAATGAAAAGGTGCCATTATAAAAATAGATAAAAATGGTTGATGTTCGTGCACAGGAGTTTGTACTAGACGCCTGATAAAGCCAAGTTTGTAATTTTGGCGCAGATACTTACGAGTATTTTTTCTATTAGGCAGCGGTATGTGGTATTTTAATCGGTTTGCCACTCTGTTCTGGGAGCTTCTCTGCAGTGGATCTCCCTTTTATGACCATCAGATGGCAGCATTGACTTTTGAAATGCAGCTGAACCAAAAGAGACATCATCTTACTGCATTATTATAACCTGATAATAATACCAAGAGCATGGGCGCATTCACGGAAAGTTTTTAGACCTGGTGTTGGGCATTAGGGGATGAACTACAGTCCAGTGGCTGCAGACATAAAGGATTGGGTAAATCCTCCTCCATAATTTTGAAAATGATGACAGTGGATGTACAGTTAATAATTCAAGCTCACCCAGGCTAGAGAATGTTTATAACACACAGATTCTTCTGTGACTTTCTTTAATTATTATTGCTGGATTTTGAAAAGTAGTGAGTCTGATGTTCGAGGTAATTTAAACTCAGTCACTGGAATTTTTTTATCTGTCAGAGTTCAAATTGAGGTCTGTCAGAGAAAATATACTCACCCATAGTATTGCTATATTTTGGAGGTGTATATGCGGCACCACAGTTCATCACGGTTTTGTGGTATGTACACATACTTATTTCTGGTTTGCCTAACTTTTCATTTTGTAATTTTTCAGTGACTTCACATGCCCCGCTTAGAATTCAGTTGCATTCATGAACTGTTTGTCTAAAACATCTGAGTTAATGCTGCATATATAGTTATTTTCACAGTGGTTTAAAGTGTATAGCATTCTTTTTTGAATTTTTTTTGTTTAATTTTTTTGGTGTTGGGCAGTAATAAGTATATGTGGATTTATACCGTTATAGCAAAAAGTCAAGCAATACTCAGGGTGCTCCTGTAGCTAACACTTTCTTTTTCCTCTCGTGGATGGTATTGACAAAGAACATCTTGTTCTCTGCAAGCTAGATGGAATAAACTCACAAGTTGTTCATGTTAATGTGGCTAGTTTTATTAGATTAATCTTTAGAGCCTGCAAAAGTCGTGAGATAAATGCTTTTTAATCAGAAAATGTAGAAAATCACATGACTAAGTAATGGGCTTCCTTTCTTTGTCGTGGGGAGTAAACAGTGTAGATTTGCAGAGTTTTTCTGGTCTGTTCAGCAGCTATTTTGTGCTTGTAAAGCATGGAGAAAGCTGACAGATGTTACACAAAACTACAGCCTCATTTGGCACATTCATTGCTTTCTCAAACTAAACCCTAATTGTCTCTACATAATAAGAGTAGCAATACTTTTTCATGAGTTCGGATGCAATGATGAGGGACTAAAGATCTCATAAAGTGCAAGCTAAGTGAAAAATAGTATGGTCTAATAACAATAACAGTGTTATTGCTGATAATATTTACAAAATGTGTTTTTTTTTTTTTTTTCTGGCTACAGAATCATTTTCTGAATACTGTGAGCCATCTGGATTATTTTGATGAACATGATTTGATAATTTTCTGTAATGTTGTCATACCTAACACTATTTTTTTATTTTCCTCTATAGTGTTTGTGGAACTAGTTGAATTAATGAGTGTGTAACTAAAATTGCATTGAAACCATTTATCACAAGGACTTGTTTCGACCAACATTCAAGTCTTCAAGTGTTTTTCCTGTTATGAATGCAAAACAACACACATTAATCACATTTGTTTGAATGTAATAATTTGTCATATTTTTTAGGTTTATGTCTTTTTTCCCTTTTTTCTCATCAGGATGTTCTAAACAACCTCGGCTCCTCAGAGCTGGATGAAGACGATCTCATGTTAGACCTGGACCTCTCTGATGATCAGCGACATCGACACGGTAACTTTTTCACCGCATTTGCTGTCTTTATGTGGGTTAAAATCAAAAGCCAGAGAATTCAACACTATTAGCAGCTGGGACATATACTGCACAATATATTTTACTGTTTTTAACTTTTAGGTTAATCTCCAAAAAAAGTCTTCACATTGCTGTTCTTAGAAACTGAGCTTTCAAGTCAAGAGATAATCTGTCACACGCTTACCTTTATCTATATCTATCCCTCCTTCTTTTCAAGTGAATGTCTGCTCATATTTTCTCATGCTGTCACAGGTTCTTTCTCTTACTTTCTTTCTCCGTCTCTCTCTTCACTTCCTCTGTGCTGTCATTCTCTCTCTTAACCTTGTTTCTCTTCACTCTGTGTCTCTCTTTTCCTCATTAAGCCACCTCTATTCCATCACCTTAAAACATGAAACCAGTATTCTCCCTGCTTCTTTCAACATGTGCCACGACTTTGATGTAGCTGCCTCATTTACAGCGATTTATCTCCTTTGTTGTTTTGGCATTTCAGTCACACTCCTCCTGACATGCCTCGTGGTTGAAAAGTGACTATCAGAGGAGAATTATTGCTTGTGCCTTTTCCACAGTGCAGCATGGAGTGCCAAACACAGCAACCCCAGCTTCCTTTCACACAACACATAAGGATATTACCAAACTGAATGAGCGTGATGAGCGACTGCAACCAACCCATACTTAAATGTGTTAAGAAGGACTTAATGAAACGTTGCTCAGCACATTCATGTGTTAATTTTATGACATCTTAGAGAAGGATTTGCTTTATTTTTGCTTTTGTGATGCACTGAAGTGAATTCATTGAATTTCGCAGGCACTATTGTCATTTGCAGGAACATTACCAGCAAGATTGCAAGCAAATACTGTCAATATTGATTATGCTTCTTATGGTCTCAGCTTGAAAATGTTGTATGCTTCGAATTAAAGCACGTAACGCTGCACAGGCATAAAATGTACACATCGACTCGGACAGTTGGTGTTTGGCTGAGTATGACACGTGAATAAAATGAGTCAACGGAGTAAACATAAGCTTGAAATGAGATCACTCTCCATTTCTGTGCTTCCAGACGCTCACATACATGGACAACATGTTTGACGGTAAATACAGCAACGGGTGCACTTGTGTCACTTTAACTCTTCGCGTGAGCGTGTTTGGCTTTGACTCCTCCGATCCAACAGATCTCTGAATCAAATTACATGTTAATGTGAGGTTGGATTCATCTATCTCCAGGCCATATTTAAGTCCCAGATGGGCTCCCGGAATATTGCAGTTGCAGTCAAATAAAAGTAAAGCGCTCAGCAGCGGTGTGGAGTAAAGACTACAACAGGAACTTCGGCCCTAATAAACTGAATTTCCTGTGCTTATGGGGCTTGGAGAGTTTGGAGAGAGAGGGTGGATTTGAACTGAACACTCACACACCCACACAAAAAAGCACACGCAGACACACACACATTGAAAACATCTCTACAGGCACAGGCTGATGCAGAGCTAAAGGAGGCACCATCATTAATACACACACTAGCACACAAGCGTGCATGCTTAGTCATTAGACCTAATGGTTTGCAGACTGTAGCATGAAATTAAAGGTTTGATGAATTGTTCTCATAAAGTCAAGGGACTAAGACTTTGTGCTGGCAATAGAAGAGGAAGATTCTTCCACATACGCAAATTAAAGCAACTAATTTAAAGACACATTCCCGCACAGGCATTGTGGCAGCGTATACAATGCAGACAGTTATACGTACAGGCTCATATAGAGATGTATACGCACCGACACGCAGACACAACTGGACACACACCCATTCCACAACCCCCCGCACTCTCATCGGCACTCCTCATTTTTACCTCCCTCAGGTGGCTTGTTGAAGCCTTTATTAAAAAGCAAGCAGTTTCACAGCAATTTATGGCCAAAAGGGCTCTGTGTTCGTACTCCAACTGTGACTCACGCCCTGTGGAACCAGACATGGACAGAGAGAGAGAGATAGAGAGAGAAAGCGAGACAGTGGTACCTTTGCGAAGACATAAAAGACGCCAAATCTCGGCTTTATCACCAGCCTTTTCTCCACTGTCCTCTCCATTGCTCCGTCAAATGTGCCATTAAATTTGGACATATCAATTTTTAACACAACTGATAGCATCATTACTCAAACTAATCACTGCTGAATTTTAATGAGCTACTCTGTGACATAACTGGTGTTTTATAGCTGTTCTTTAATGAAACTTAACTAAGTTATGGATTTTGTTTGCCGAGATTAGAAACACAACTTCATGTAATGGTTACATGTATGTTTGGTTGTGTGCTACAGTGTCCAGAGAAGACTCCAGCCAGTCCCTCGCCTCCTGTCTCAACCTGCTCCCTTCGCCTTTGGACGCATCTGGAGATCGCATTGTGGGGAAAGAAAACAATCAAAGGTAAATACATGCATTTGTACTCAAATTTGTTGCCTTGCACTCAAAAAACAGCAAATGGCAAATGTTTATAGACCTGTGTGTGTTTTTAAGTACTCTGCGAAAGGCACTAAAAGTAAAGTGGGCTGTGTGAGTGTGCTTTTGAAATATTAAATGATTCTATGAATGCCAATTTTTTTCAGTTAGCTTCATACAGAATGCAGTACACGGAAAAAAAACAACTCATATCAGTACTTAATGTGACCACCTTTGACTTTAAAACAACAGCTTCCTCGGGTACACTTGCACATAATGTTTCGAGATACTTGGCAGGTAAGTTGTACCGAGCATCTTGGAGAACGCGCCGCAGTTCTTCTGTGGATTTACGCTTTCTCGGTTGCTTCTGTTTCTTAACGTAATCCCAGACTGACTCGACAAAGTTGAGGCTCTGTAGGGGCCGTACCATCTGTTACAGGACCGTCTTATGGGCTGAGCATAACAGAACCACAATCAGAGAAAGAAAAGACGAGAGAAAAGCGGGCCATATTTTGGTACTGGTCGGCTTCTAACCGGATCAAGTCACGTACAATAGGAGCATATGGAGGGTTCAAGGATCTGTTTTGACACTCTCACCCACAGGGCATTCATTCTCTGTACAGTATACATTCATTACATTACTGCTGGAGTATAGCTTTTTTTCATAGAACACTCAATTGCCTTGCGAGAGACAAAGAGAAAGACAGAAGGCTATTGTCTATTCAAGGAATTGCTGATCTTGAGTGTTCTGTGTAAATGCATAACATGTTTTATGTCTTTGCCTCCCTTGGAGATGAGACAGAAAGAGGGAGGGTAAATAAATAAATAAATTCTCTTTGAATAAATATGCAAGCTGTCTTTCTGTTCTCCTTTGTTTCCCTGTAGCCCACGGCTGAAAGAGAACACTTAGAGTTTCTGTTTGTACATACGCATGTGTGCCACTGCCAAGGACAGTTCCATATCTGGTTTGATTTGGCCACTTTTTCTTCACTACGTTCGGATTTAGGATACGTCTAGCCGGACACACACAGAAGTGCATGCACACCCACTCATCTGCGCACACACAGCACAGCTCTGTGGACAGGGCTTATTTGGTTTTATGGAGCCGCTGGGTAATATAGGGGTTGTATCATCAGTGCTGTCGTCTGGTGGTCCGCCTGACAAGCTAGCAGATGATTATTACTTTACCTTTCAGTGTTCCTCTTCCCACGTGTGTGTGTGTGGAATTTATTTTGTTTCTGCTCACACCCATAGAGTAAATGTAGCTGTCTATCCATGTTTTCTCCTGAATAAACTGGCTGTGATCTTTGTTTGCAGAGACAGTGCAGGTCAACTTGTGTGAGTGGTTTTGAAGTAGAGATTGAAGGATTTATACTACACCATTGAGACATTGGACTAAGCCTGGGCTTTTTTTTTTCAGAGAAGGGTTTTTTATTAAGCTTATAACGCTCTTTGAAAGTTTCAATGAATAGAAAGACATTTTCTGCGTCTAGACAGTGTCAGTGAATCATGCAAGTCGGGAGTCAACCTTTTCAACCCATCCAAGGTTTTTGTTAGACAGTTCATTGGTTGTTTCACACTGAAGCCTCACTTGTCTTTGAAAGCAGTAGAGGAGCATTTATGTCTCCACATACACACACATACAAATATTTGCATGATATTGCCCTGGATACAAGGTCGAGGCTAAAATGTCGCTCAGCTGTAACCAGTTTTCTTCGGTTTGATTGAGTTTGCCTGGAGTGATGCATTGCACATCAGCCTACAAATGTCACAATACGAAGAGATGCTTCCATTTCTTACAACCCAATCAGCGACAGGGTATTATGACAGTGTCCCTTCTTATTGAGGAAATTAGATGAATGAATAAATGTAGTAGTGCTTTTAGCTAAATGCTACCATCACCATGTTAACATACTGATGTGTTTCAGGAATTACATTTATGGTACATGAGCTGCAACTAAAGATTTTTACGTGACTGTATTTATAGAAAGCAGTACCTGACTTACATTTGGTTGCCATCTCCCTTTAAAGTGATCTCCTTGTGCAGCAATACAACCCTTCCAGCAATTCTGCCATGCTTACAGCGATCCTTGAGAGTCCTGTTCTGTAAGCATGTCAAGTACATTCTACAATTCCTGCTCAATTTCCTCCGTTGTGTGAAAACAGCGACCCTTAAACTTGAATTTCATTTTAGGGAAGAGGAAGAACTCGCTGGGAGCCCAATCTTGTGAATAGGGCAGATGGGGAGCGATGACTGTGTTGTTGTGACCAAAAAACCTGTGCATAATCACTGCACTGTGAGCAGGTGCGCAGCACATTCAGAGTACCCAAATTTCATTGCGCCAAGTTCAGCTTGTCTATGCTGAATGTTCTCTGAACTCGGGTTTGACAGTCTGACCCCCGGGGACAAATTCACAGTATGCAATTTCATGAATGTTGGAGAAAACATCAAACATATGATGAATATCTTTGGGTCGTAGCTCCTGCAGACCGAACTCTCATCACCAGAGGGCTGGCTCATCCTGAGCTGTGGACTGATGCAGACTGTGATGTCCACTTTGAGGTGAAATCACTAATGTGCCTGTAGCTGTGGTCACATAGATGCATGTAACAGAGGTCCTGATGTTAATTTCTGACAGTGACAGCTTGCACCTGTTGCATGCATGTGACTGTGCCGACCTTGGGGAACAGTCTCAGAACTTCTTAATCACCTATTAACAGTGTTCCCGTCTTAATTCAGTATGCTCACGTGCATTTTAATACCTAATGCAAAGTACAGCTGAGCCTGTGATATATGTATATATATATTTCTGCCGATGTTTTGCAGTTGCAATTAAAATGTTGTCCTAATGGTGGTGCATGAATGTGTGTACCCAATTTCTGTCCAACAGTTGCTGAAATATGTATTTTGGGTTATAGCAAAGTTGTGGACGAATTAACTGTCAGATTGACGTTTCCATGCCTAGAGCTATGCTACTAGCCTGGAATGCAGTAATTTCACATTTAAATCATGGTATGCCTGAGTGATGACTTATGTGCCAGCCTTTATAATAACCCGACAGTTTGCACTGAAGTCTTGAACCGTGTACTCCAGAATGACTTAAGCCTCCAAAAGTGTAAACACATCACACAGTTTAACAGTGAGTATGCCGCTGACAGTGAGACAGTGATATGATATAGTGGGCTTAGAGAGAAGTGTGTGTTGAGTTAACTTCTCCACAGCAAGGGAGCAGTTTCTGTAGCTGAAGTGCAGAGCTGCAGGGTAACTTCAATAAACATTTAAGAAAAAAAAAAGAAAGACTGGATTGACAGCACAGCTACAAATCACACCAGTGAGGGATAGGCCGACTTTAAGGCTTTCCTTTCATTTGATTCCAAAGTGAATTTGAATATTGTGTTTTATTTAAAACACCATGGAATTGATGAAACAGCGAATCAGCCGCTAACATCACCATGCTCGAATTTTGATTTGTTTTGGCACTGGAAACACTGGGGCAGGTTAGATACCCTGACCAAAAAGTTGCTGCTGGCAGGTGTTAATTTCCCACTGTTTTAGTTCAGCATCTTCACTGATTTCTTCTAACAAAAACATTTTCACACAGATTTTACTGGAAAATGTATAATGTGTCTGAGTGAAGAACCTGAGATTGGAGGGGGAAAGAGAGCGAATTGTGTTTGCCCAGGGCTTCCTCTATCTCTCACTCTGTCTTTCTATCTCTCTCAGTCTCTTTTGCTCTTTGTCTTAGGTTCCACATTCCCTCGAGGGGACATTGATTTGCTGGAGGCGAAGCAAGCTCCCTTCTGTTCACACACAAGAAAACACAAACACATACACAGTTGTATTTCCATCCCTTCAGAGGCCATTATATTGACTTACAATAATTTCATGAGGACTTACCTTAGCCCTGACGCTCACCCTAATTTAAAAATAACTATATCCAACCCAAGGCTTCGTATTAAAATTGAAAAGATTTGCTTTTTGTCCCTGACTGTGTAAACAGATTTGTGTCCCCACAACAGAAGTAATACAAGTACCTGCGCGCACACACACACACACACACGCACACACAAACACAAACACACACACACACACACGCACACACACACACCTGTCAGTCAGTCAGCCTGTCCAGAAAGAGTATCAGCTGCAGGGATACTGCTGGCTGTCTGACAGGCTGCACAGAACATCTGCTGTACACACACACACACACACACACACACACACACGCACACACACACACAGAGTCTTGCAGGCATACCTCCTCTTTGATGTATGACAGTTGGATGATTTTGATGGCAGGTATTTAATTCTCTGTTTATGACTTTGTAAACATTAATACCACAGTAACAAAACTATAGCAGTAAACAGCCGTGTGCTAAATCTCCATTTCCGTTATTTGTGGCTGCATAGGTGTGTCGAGGGAGAGCGACAGACAGAGAGAGAGAGAGAGAAAAGAGGGGAGAGATTTAGGGAGAGCTCAGGAGTAAAGAGAGAGAGACCAGAGACATTAGAGTCTTCATCAAGAGTGTCCTATATTCACTGGAATATATGTAGGAACATTGATCCACAGTGTCCCTCGTCACCTTGTACACGTTGCACAACAGCTGGTGAGCAGGGATCAGAGACACAGTGTCGTATGTGCAATAATTGTGAATCATGTAATTACCTACAGCTTGGGATGAAAATAAAAGGATGAGAATAGAAGAAAAGTTTTGTGTAAGGTTAAGTGATGCCACTTTAGATAGTCATTTGTATGATTACAACTTGTGATTAATTTTGCTGCTGTTTTATCTACTGATCATTTTTGAGTAAACATCGTTTTCAATTAACAGTCCCGAAAAAGAGTGTGTACAAATAGTGAAAATAGCCTCCAAGAGTCCAAGGTGATGTCTTTAGTGGTGTTTGTTAAACAACAAAAGAGGAGCAAGACAAGAAGAAACCTCTTTCACATTATAGTATCTAGAACCTGCAAATGATTTGAATTTAA